CTCTCGTCGACTCTCTTTCAGCATGTATGCATGTGGGCTCGATGAGGCACAAGGTACCGTTCAGTTTGGTTCACGGCCTTCTTGTCCACGACCGGACAAGACATGAGTGCTTGCTTTCAGGTCTGCATGCGTTTCTGATAGATCGCCTCCGCCGATTATTTCCTGACCTACTTTTACTCTTCCCTATTCGGCATTTGAGCATGTCCGCATGTGTTCTGCCATGAGGTCTAATTGCATTAGGGTAAAGGGACTGCAAGTGAACCCGCCATGTTTTCGCACTGTGACCGGACTCTAGCTGCGACACCGCCGGACCAACAGATCCAGACAACACAGGTCACAAAGACGTGACAACGGACCAACCCGCGACATTCAGTGTCCCGAAGGCGTCGCCCCAGACGCAATCGCAGCAGATCCAGATCCACACCCAGCCGTTCTTACTCACCATCCGTCCGCAGAAGACGGCGAGACTCCCGCAGAAGGTCACCAAGTTCAAGCCACAGCTCTTCGCCACCGCCGAAGAGTCGATCCCCGAAACCACGGATCAGACTGAACCTGCAAACGTTCTTCGTCAGCAGTTTCAGAGGGTCGCCCTTGCAATGGGCCCAACCAGTACAAAGCATCGCCGCATCCCACCTCCACCACCCCTCCCACAAAACCAAAAACACTGCCAAAGCAACGTCCCCATCAACAATCCGACAAGTCGGACCCCACACACGACAGCAGCTCACGGCAGCCTTTCAATGTTTTCACAAGCCCGCTGCCTCCGTGCATTGACGTGCACCCTGCAGCTGAAGTGCCGCACGACCAGAGACCAAAACTTCTCAGCTACGATACTCAGGATGCAACAGCGATCGATGGGGGGCCCCTGCTGGTCACCTTCATGTGCAGGGCTTGATGATGGTAGGTCACAACCGATGACCATTGGTCGCAGACAAAACAGTGCCTTTACACCTGCCTGGTAGCACACATGCCGTGCAATACACAAGCACCTTTGCAAGTTTCACAGCGGTGCTCCGTACGAGTTTTCTTACATTTTACTTTACCTGACTCGCAGGCCCATGGCTTCCGACGATGAATCGTCTTGGCACTCAGGCATGGCCGTTCTTGAGCAGCGAAGTACCTCCCGATCAGCAGGATCTTCTGCACAAATCACTGAGGTACCAACAACAGCCACAAACGCTCCCCACCACAAGACTACCAAGTCCAAAAAGAAGCATAAATCAAGCAAAGCATCGACAAAAAAGACCACAAAGAGCAAAAAAGGCAAAAGAAAAGCAAATACTCGCAGCAGCACATGCAGCGGAGCGTCTAGCGACTCCGCATACATCCACCAAGACCTCCACCTTGGCCTTTACAGCCACAATACCGACAATTCCGCAAGCCACGCAACATCGACCTCCACTTCGATGCAAACAGGTGCGGCACCCAGATCCAGAGCATGTGCCAAGATGTTGGTTAGAGCGGGATATCGTTGCCCATGCCATTTCCTGAGAGAATGCCCGTCGGTTATTTCCCAACAACCTGTCACTCTACAGTTTCACCCTGTTACTAACTGAGCTCAGTGCAGTGAATCCATAGAAAACAGCGCAGTTGCGCAACTTGAGGACACATAATTAGTCCGTACGATTTTCAGATGATCGCATTTGTCAGTCTTGTCGGCTTCAGGAACGCAGGTAGCCCGTTTTACACAAGATGCAGCGAACACCGCCCCCACCACCACCGGGGCACCGTGGCACATACAAAGTGCCCACCGGCATTGTGACAAGAGCAGCACATTCTTATCAAGTGCCACCATCCGCTGCAGCACCACAGCCCCAGCGAGGGGCACCCCACCATGCCCCACCAACAACACAGCTATCCCCACTACCATGCTTCCCCCCTCCACCACCACAGCTCAACCCCACCACGCACCGTCATTCTGCCCTTCCAGCTCACCATTCCATTCCACACTCCTTCGTCACCCCATCCCTACCAAACGATTTTGTTCCTTCCGCACAGTATCACGATTGCAGGGTCATATACGGGTACGACCTACCTAAAGCAATCAGAGCTACCACATACACCCAAAAACTGGGCATAGCAGGATGCCCAATTGAGACGATCCCTCTTTTGGCCGTGATCCGTCACTCCTGGTCTTCATATTGGCTCAGATACCTGTGTCGTGGCCACGAACTATATCCGGTGTTTACAAAACACATTTCGCATGCCATGCTGGCTACAGAGCTCTTTTCCAGGCTCAATCACAACAAGATCGACCTCGACACCGTCGCGTTGGCACACTGCCAAGGAGCCATTCCACCCATCTCCAGCCCCACCAAGAAGCAAGCGTTGGCAGCCCTCGCTGACGAATTCTATGAGTACATGAGCAGACTCATCCATGAGACACCTTCTCAGAACACCGCTTCCACAGACCAACAATCCAACCAACGCATTTTGCAGCTTGAACAACAACTTGCCACCGCACAAGCGCAACTTGCTGCATCAACTGGTAACCAAGATGCACCTGCCACACCAGCCAAAAAACGCCCACCCCCCATCCCCATCACCCACCATCAGCAGCACCCCGCCAATGAACCACAGCACCACGGCAGCTCTGCCCGTCGCACCCTCTCAGGCTACTCCTGCCGACTGCCTTACCCCCACCCCACACACCAGCCACACACCCAATTCCACAACAACCACCACGCCCGGCCCCAAACCTGCGAAGACCATCACAGTCGAAGACAGCCCCCTCTCGGCCATCAAACGCAGAAAGGTGCAAACAATCTTACCAGGGGCGCCCGCCAAGCCTGCGAAGCCTGACATTTTTGCAGAACCTTCGGGCACATCACAATGGTTTGCACAGAACTACACCGGTGCCCATTCCGATGCTGGAATTACACGGTGGATCGGTTCACTACGCATCCCGGACCCCAAAAAACAAGAGGTCCGAGCCAACATTCAGGAGCTACTCAAGCAATATCCCAGCCTGACCGATCAACAAACAGAACAACTACAGAAGAATGCTGAAACCTGGGGTTTGCCGCAGCAACATATTCGCAAGCTACAGGCCAATCACTGTCACTTAATCAGCATCCTCAGCGTCATCGCTCATTTTACTGAGTGACTCATCACTCAGGCTGCTAAGCGCAATCCACAACAACAGTTTTGTCAACACACCACTCACCTCACCAATTCCATTTCCACCTTATCACATCTTCTTCCCGAAGCCGAGTCCTCTTCCACCAAAGCACATGCGGTTACCTTGTGGCTAACAGGCAGATGCATCCTGCTCCACGCCCTTCATTACCGCACACCCCAGCAGCGCGGTCACTTGCAGACCATCCGACATTTATGCCAACGAACACAACTACATTACTCCACTTACACTTACCACCACTTCCAAACCACCGGCGTGGTGTATGCTAGAGTCACCAAAACCCGCCGTCACCACCGATTCATCTATGTCGGATGCACACATAACACCATGCAAAACCGTGAAAGCAACCGCAACCGCAAATTTCGTCAACTTACCAAAGACGCCGTCGTCGATGCAGAGCTATCCCTAAGATGGTGGCGACAACACCAAAACTACCGCCAGTTCATCCCCCTCGTCATACAGTACAACGTACCACACGATTACTTGGAAGCCCAAGAACAGACCTTCATTCAGCACTTTCAACCAAAACTCAACTTCCCACACATTGCCCCACACATGAAAAAAGCATTCCGGGGCATCACACAGCCAGCGCGCCACAAAATACAGCAAAGAGCAGGCATCGCGTCCATTTGGGCCAAACTCCGGAGACGACACCTATCACCCACTCTCCGACCACTCCATAAGTCTCGGACTTTTCAACGCCAAACCCAAGTTTGGCACACCATTTGCAGTCTAGCGTCCAACACCAAAAGACGCTTTGAGTCTAGCAAAGAACTCATGCCGTCAGCCCAGCTATACGCTTACCATCGCATTGCGCGCAATTTACCCACCACACACCAACGCCCTGCCACAAAAGCTATTGCTACAGCCATGCGCAAACGTGCGCTACCTGTTCCTAAAGCCGGCAGACCAGCCATTTTGCCTTACCTCGCACACCCATCCCAAACCATAACAACCCGAAATTGTCTACGCCGCCAGATCACAATACACCGCCAACACACCCTACCTTTACATCCCCCGACTACCACTGTCGTTTTCGCGCGGCACCCACGGGTACAGGGGCAGCCATCTGGATGAGGAGCTCCGCTTTACATCACCGCCTCCAAGTACGGCGGTGAGCAAAGGAGCCAAGCTTTTGTCTGCACGTCATGTCGATTTGCTTACCAAGGCCGACCTCTGCAAGGTTCCTGTACCAAGAGGATATGGATGCGGATCGCTGATCCCACTTCCTCTCGAAGAAAGCTTTGTCAGGACAGCGTGGCTGTTCTCCGCTTCTTTCAGCACCTGAGCTCTGTCGAGTGGCGTCCTCGCCCGCTTAGGCCACCTGCCTTGGTGGCTATGGAAACTGCGGCAGACGCCTTTGGCAAGGGTAACCAATGCGGGGTAGGAGGCTGGCTCAAGTTCCCCAGTGGTCGTATGGTATGGTTTTCTCAGCTTTTTGATGTGCAGCAGTTCACAGCTTTGGGCATACCTGTGCAAAGTGATGCCAACCTTGACATCTCCAGCTACGAGACCCTGGCACAGTGCTTTATTTTGCTTGCTTTCTGGAAATTCTCAGGTGCCGG